TCATGGGCTCATTGCGATGATGTTGATGAAATGGTGATAATGATGTTGATCAAGATGACGTTGCTGTTATTGATGAAGATCATGTGAATGAAGATGATGATGACAACGAAGATGATGATGATGACAGTCATGAAATTAATGATGATGTCGATAATGATCCCAGCGTGCAGAATACTGAAGAAACTGTGAAAAATAAACTGAATCAATTTGAAAAACATGTGCTGATCAAGCAAACGAGTAAACACCTGCTAAAAGTGCAGAAATTCCCAAAGAACAGAAAAATATTCTAAGGAAACAACTTGTCTCTGGCATTCCAGTTGAAGCTTTCGAGGCAAAAAAGAATGCTGAAATATTTGGAAGAAAAATACTTTCATACATTGATTGCCTTCAGCTTAAAGAACGCAGAAAAGAGCTTGGAAATATAAACGAAGAAATTTAAACGAACTTCAAAGACAATGAAATGCGCACAGAGATGATGTGAAAGTCATTAGCATGAAGATCAACGACCTCTCCGTTTACAGCAAGCAAATTACACATATATAATACATAAAATAAATTAACTTTAATAAATTATATAATATTTTATGTTTATAAGAAAAAAAAAATATATAATATTTAATTATTCTTATTAATATTTAATAACATTAAATAAATTATAATGATAACTAAAATAAAGTTAATTACTTGAAGATTAAAAACTGAATTACAATATTCAATGATATTTTAGCAAACATAATTATATTAAATGGTTAGCCTAGATGACTGATTACTATTTTTTTACTTTACTGCAAAATGAAAAATAAGGCATTTGTTAAAAAGAAAAAAAAAATGTTTAAGAGATTTTGTGGTAAAATCGTAGTATATGGTACAGCCTTGGCACGATTTTGAAAACTGTTGCCAATACTAAAATGACCTGTTAATTGCTCATCATAATGCCACCAAATTCCCTGTGTAACATATAATAGGGTTAAACTTATTTTGTTTTATATGAGAATGGGCAGGTATTTTCTTTCGCTCAACAAGCACTGCATATGCGCATGGGAATCTCTCGATTCTCGAGGTTACTGAAAACCAAAGTTGCTGGAAACTTGCTTTGCCTTTCTAAAAGACAATCTGATTGGAGTGCGGAAATTGGCTTTACACCAGCTGCTCGATGATGCTCACATGATACATAATTCAGCAAGAAATTGATTGCTTCCAACGTTGGCATAAAAATTGCTTTTTTGGGGGAATCACTATTTGACATTCCCTGACCTTTCCAAATTTTGACAAATATTTAATTCCTGACTTTTTTTTTTTTTTTTTTTGTCAATTCCAATCCCCAGACTTTAGTTTCCAATAGCGTTCAACCTGCATCACATAGTCAGATCAGATAGCAAAAGGTGCAAAGTACTTTACTAAAATTCAATAATATATTAGAATTCTTTTATGCTATCCTAGTAAGGACATCTATAACAAATCAGACACCTTTAAAACAGTTTAATTGGCATGACATTTATGGATATTACATGTAGAATTAAACATAAAATAGATTATTAATTTTATTTTTAATGAGATCTAACGTATTATGAAAAACTGGTGGTAATTTTTCAGTGTCAACTCCTTAGTGTATTTGACTTTTTTATAGAAGAAAGAATGACTTCTAATTACACTAAACATTTATAATAATATAAATATTATTCATATTACATTGTGCCGTTATAATGTCTCAAAATTTAGAACAACCTACTTCAAATTTATTTTTTTCCCTTGCAGAAATTTCATAGCAACCCCTTTAAGAATAGATTCACAGCAAGTGTTTCTTTTTGGTGATTTTACAAAAATATACTGTATTCTTGCAGAAATGACACTATAAATTTCTTCTGCACCAGACAAATCCCACTAATAATATGTTAATTCGAATTTAAGATATATCATATAACTGTTTTCAATCAAAATTGTAAAAAAAAAATGTGACATTGATTGCTAAAACTAATAAACTATTATATCCATGGTTGCCTAAAGAACTGTTGCACGAATTTGGTGCATTCTGAAAATTTGATAACTTCTACTTATGGTGGTTGCACTTATAAGTATGTATTGATCTAACAAACTGAAAGATGAAAATTTGTGTAGAAAAGACAGGTGCAAATATTAAATCATTACTCTCTACTTCTAACACAACAATACAGTCAAAAATAAATTTAAAAAAAAAAAAATTCTATCAAGATGTAGGAGGAAAAATTTCACATCTTAGAATGAAATTCTTAAACTGTTTTAAATATTCATATTTATGCTACCTTAAGTAACTTAAAAATTACTGGAAAGAATACTACCAAAAAAAAAAAAAAAAAAAAAGAGAAAGAGAGAGAAAGAAAGAAAAAAAAAAACAAAAATCATGAAAAGCTTCAATTATGAACAAATTGTAACTCTTTCAAAAAATGCAACATTGACCCCAACCCATTAAAAAATACACTTGGTTTCTCTATCACCTACATCAAATTTGCATGCTTAAATATATGTCCTATTTTATATTCTGTTTCCTGTGTTTAGAACCTATTTATTTAGCATAAAAAGACAGTATTGTAATTTAAATCTTTTATTTCTTACATTTAGCAACAAATATAGAAAAAAAAAGTTTACGTATAAACTTAAAATAAGCTGTATATCTACATGTCTATTTTCTCTATTAACAAATAGAAGTTTTAATAAAGCAAAGTTTCACAACTTTCATAGCAAGTTTTAAAATTAAATTATTTTATTTCAAAATAAAATTACGTTAAAATACTGTTTATTTTAAAATACCTCAGTCCTTATTTTAAGTTTATTCCAAAATACCAACGGACAATATAACAGTAATAAATAATTAAATATGTTTAATGATAAGTTTTTTCTTGTAAAAATGAAATTTATAGCTTCTCCTATAGAAGAAATTTCTAAATATTTATACTAATAATGGTTTCATCAGAAGCAATACAATGACTACTCAGATTGCCATAAGAAGCAATAATGATGATTTAATAATAGTAGACATTACACTAAATGGGTAAATCATATAAAACTGTAATCAAAGTTTAATCTTTGTTTGTAAATAATTTTGTTTGTTTTCACAGTTATTTAGTTGGCAACTTTGATTTATTACCTAATTTGGTATTTTTCAGCTCATAAAAATATTTAGTGAGTTATCATTTTGTGTATAGCTAACACATGAGTAGTAAATGAGCTAATCCATTATATTGCAACTGTTTATGAGTTTAGATAATGATGTAGTATGCGATCTACCGTTAGTTAGTTATTTTTTAGATGGTGCCACTAAAATGCTGCTCTCAAATATGAAAATAAATAGAAATAATTTTAAATACATAATAGAAAATGCCATTAATTTAATAACCTAAGGAATTGTCATAAATTTAAATTCCTTCTAATTTTACAATACGTAAGCACGATTGTTACTTCTGCAGAGACTTCGCGACAATGATGATTTGAGGTATTTCTGCATTGCCAAAAATGAGCGGTGATCAATGCACATGTGCAAGAGGCAAATGGTTAAAAATCATTAACTGGTTTTTTGTACCTCCACTGCATCAATATAGTGATTATTCACTATAAAACATTCATTATGCTTACTATTTTTCATTTTCCATTAATGCAAAAGAAGCTGTAGTCAATATCTGAGACATTATTAGTAGCAATTGCTACATTGTGGACACAACAAAGAGTCTGTAAAAATTAATTTCCCATTATGTTTATATATGCTGTTGTTTTTTAATAACAAAATTGTATTACAAACATTGTAACAAAATTGTAACAAAATAATAATAAAATTGTATTAAATTAAAAAACACATACAATTTTCTGCTATGTTTAATAATTAGTAACATTTTTTGATATCTTTTTATATGTTGTTATTTTAAAAACACTGCTTATATAATTTTACTGGATACAGAGTGAATCTGAAAAAGTGGGCAAAACTTTACGGGATGGCAGAACACAGCTCTACAAGCAATATATGTCATAGAAAGTCTGCGTAGAACACAGAAGGTGAGTTGCTAGATTGCATTGTAAATGGTATAAAAAGGGTTGGCGCTCATGCCCAATGGCATTTTCTACTCTGGGTTACCGAGAGGATGGCTGGTTATATGAACTACAAAATATTTAGAGTGATGGATTGGTTGGGGTTGTTCTATAGCTTGGCCACCAAGATGCCCAGATCTCTCATGTTTGGACTTTTTTCTGTGAGGCCATATGGAAAGCCTAATCTATGATTCCCCCTTGAAACCAATATGGACCTAGTGGGTAGGATCGCCATTGTTGCCAGCAATAATCGGGAAATGTCCAGTGTCTTCGCAAATATGCGTCAGTCGCTGTTACATAGGTATGAAGCCTGCATTACAGCTGACAGAATGTCTTTTGAACAATTTCTTTGGGCATGTACATCAATTATATTGCTGTTAATAAAATTTTTTTGAAGTATCTCTTCTCAATCTTGCATTAATTCTTTAAATGTGACAGTGAAAAACTACCCCCTTTTAGTTTCTCACCGCTTGCGTTCTGATCATACATTCTATGACGAATATTGCTTGTCTAGCTGTGTTCTATTACCCCATAAAGTTTTGCACACTTTTTCAGATTCACCCTGTATAATAATAATAATTAATGTATATATTACATAAATTCTGTTGAATTATGCAATCATTTAAAATTATTGAAAAATTCTATAAAATACTATAATAATTGTAAATTTATATTAAATTCCTTCTATATGTATACATTAAATAACTTTTATTGCACAGATATTGAATGAATTGCTGTTTACCACAGTCAGTTTTGAAATAACATGGAAACATTTGCAGTGTGGTATTTCAAATTCAATAATAGTTTCGTAAAATAAAAAATTCAGTAGCTTTTATATTTAAGTAGGTTAAGTTTTATTAGTCAAAGAATTTAAAAAATGAGATATAAATTAATTAGCCAAATTTTATTTCTGAAATTAAAGCAAATAAATTTTCAGTTTGAATTACCTCAATAAATATTGTATCATGGAAATATGATGCACTCAACCAATCTGTAATAGAAGTGCCACTATAGTATGTCAAATTTTCAAACATTTCCTATGAATGAAAGAAATAAAATCAATAAACTAGTTCCAGTTCCAAATATGCACATCTATCATTTATATAGTATATTTATAAAATTATCTTATGTTTCCCACGTAAAATTTATATAACACAGTAAAATTATTTTACTGCTTGTATCACATATGTAGAAATATGCAAAAGCTAAGTAATTCATCAGTTCCATTGTTATACATATGAGAAAATTAATGCTTGAAAAATATGATGTGTTAGATCTCTCAAGCATCAAACTAAATACTTTAAAGTTAATGACATTGTGCCAACATCTAAAGTAAAAATTATGTCACATGTGTTAATTAAATTTGATTTCACGAAGAGGACAAATTAATAATTAAGGTAAATAAGATACAGAATACAGGATACGAAACAATCTAAGCAGTTATCGTATTATATGAAAAAAAAAAAAGCTATAAAAACCTTGTGCTTGGCTATAAATGCTTGACCACCAGGTGAATTGACCACATTTTCTTCTTCTACTGAAGCTCTGGGACAGTAACTCTCAGTTTCAAGATACTATGGAAGGAAAAACTTTATTAAACAACTAAACTACAAATATAAGAAAAAAAAATGTACCAATACTAAAAAAAATACAATTAATGTAAAAAATACTGTATCAAAGCAACCTTTCATTAAAAATATAACTAATCATAAAAAAACTTTAAAATTTGAAAAATGTAAATATGTGTATAACATTTTAAATATATTATGGATACCACAACATATATTTAAAAAATTTGCAGAAGTGAAATAAAATGTTTTATCACTAAAAATATATTTCAATTTAATTTTTCTAAATATAATAAAATCCAATAAAACAAATGAGAATTCTTGAATTTAGTAGTAGAAAAGTTTTGGTACTTTCCAATTATCTGCACTCTCCTCCGAAAAGTCACCAAAGAGTAGGTGACTAATTTTTCACCAAACTAATGCGTTAAAGGCAACAGCTATTTTGAAAATAGTGGCATACTATGAATTGCATATAAAGAATAATGAATCAATAAAAAAGCAAGAAACATCTGTAATAAAACACTTGCATTTCTGAAGAAATTCTTATGTAATTTTTTTCACTATTGTTCTTCCTGAAGGGGGGGTATTGCACAAATTCAGTATTACCCAAAACATTTTGGCCTAAGAAATTTAATTGATTATGAAGTACAACTTCAAGAAATGTAAATTTTTACATTCTCTACTGCTAGGTAAAGGGTCATATTTCTGAATAAATGAAATGCTTTTTCATCAGCTGAAAAACTCCACTGTCCCATTATGATTCCTTACATTAACTAAAAAAAATCAATGTTGCCCACCAGTGGCTGAGCGGTTAAGCCCACTGAAGACTGGAAGTTCAACCAGAATTAAATTCCAGGCAAACAGGGTGGCTGTATGGCTAATTTTCATAGTTTCCCCCATGTGTAACACAAATACAAGCCAGTTTCCCTTAGAAAGTCTTCATGAAAGAATCCTTTTCCTTAGGCAGATAGACCTTGTGTGCTTTGCCATATTCAAATAATATAACCTAAGCTGCCTATTTTGGCAACAAAGTACAATGCCTTGTGAATATTTTTCAGGGAAAAGTGTAAATAATGAGAAAGCACCAAAATTTTCATGCATTCTAAATGGTGCACAGCTATAGTGAAACAAGTCGCAAAAGTAAGCCAAGTGTCTCAGTATAGTATCATATGTTTAAATGCATACTAAATATTACATCATCTGAGGTTTGCTCTAAAATGTTCCTTAATTTTTCAGATGAAAGAACATATTTTTATAACTATCTTTTCTAAGACATATCAAAAATAATACCCACACAAGAAAGAAATTCCTTTTAAACCTTGCTTACCTTTTTCAGTTCACTCATTTAACAACATGATTTTACATTATACTCTAAATTATTTTTCAAAAATATATTTAAGACTAAAAGAAGGATTTCAAAATTCTTGAAAATTATTCTGCAAGCTCTTGTAATTCAGAGATCACATTTATTTGCAACAGTTTATCAATTATATTCCTTTTGTATAAAAAATAATCATTTTGAACAAGTTCAGTATTATAAACAGCACTACCAAACATGTGAAAAAAGATATATCTAATTTATTGGTTTGATAAATCTAAATAAATGTCAGATATAACTCATGATATTTTACTCTTGAAAATTTTCTTTACAGAGATTAATATGCTGCAAAATAATTTCTTTGGGTGTAAATAGCTTCATCAGCTTCCATGGTGAGAGATATGCAATAAATGTACAAGAAAGTTTAAAACGGGTTTGTTTTCGCTTTGTCTTTTCAGATCCAGCCAAACAGTATGATAATATGTAGTATTACCATGATTCTTTTGGTTTAGGTACAGTTCATTTTACTATAATATGAAGTGTAAACATGTATTTCATTGAAGTAAATTAAAATTTTTCTATAAGAAACATTCAGAGATTATTTAGAAATATAATATTGGAGGAAACACTATTATAAGAAACCCCCTTTTTTTTACTTGCAGAAAAGTCTTTAATCCGGACTCGTCGGGACTTCGGCGATTTAAGATTAGGGTTTTTTCCGGATTATAGATCTTCAATTTAAATCTGGTAAGATGGCATGCAGAAATTATAAAATTAAAAATATGAAACTAATTTAAGAAATAAAGAACAATTATAATCTAAAGGGTATCAAAATTTACAAAAAAAAAAAAAAAAAAAAAGCTTAATATATATTTGTTTACTTTATTAAACATTTCTTTCAATGTAAGTTGTTAAGTTGCTTCATTTTTTGTGCTAATACTTTCTCTTTAATTCTATCAACAGCTATAATTTCTTGTTCAGTTTTACTGTCCAAGTCCTGTAATTGCTGTGTCAAGAATACCGACTAACTTGTCAATCGAAATTTTTCCATTTTCAATAACCTCTCTGTCACTTTCTTCACTATCGGAAGCAGTACATCAAAACATGCATTCACTTTGCAGATCCTTTGGCAGCTCCAGAACCAAAAACTCTTTCTGACATAATTGAAAGTTCAAGCTTACTTTTTATAAAATTTCTCTAACAGTCTGCAAAAAATAATAAGCCGAATCCAATTAGAAGATTAAGGAACAATGCAATCTGCAACATTAACTGAAGTAGATAATTAGATAATTTTAACCTAGCTTATACCGTCCTTTATACATTAAATGCACATGCGTAAACGCATATGCACATGCATAAAGGTATTATGCGCATGCGTAAACACATATGCGCACGTGCAGAAAGTTTGTAGCTTTGAGGTCCGGATTATAGATCATTCCGGATTATGGACGTCCGGATTAAAGACTTTGTACTGTATTATTATGTAAAAAAACTGTATAAATACAGTGTGATGGAACATCTCCAAGATAATTCTACAGATCTGCTACTTTAGCAAGAAAATGTGCTGTCACCATTATTTTATTTAATCAGTTTTCTACTTACTGAGTCATCAGATATTGAATAATCATTAGATATTTCTTTATAGTTTTAAAAATATGATATTATAAAGATTATTAATAAACTACAAAGTCAAAATGTCTTAGCAAGCTAAAAACATTCATACTTTATCTTCAGATTTTGGAATGTATGAAATGGAAATTGGTTGCCATTTTAGATGTTTATCAAATTGCCATTTTGAACTAGGAGCATAGAAAGAAGCAAGGTTCGTTTCAGCACTTTTTATACATCGATCATTGGCTGAACTTATCACATCTATCTGAAATATATATTCGAAATATATTAGAAGATTTACAAAATACAATACAATCTTAAAATTTTAGTTAATATTGAATATTCAGTTAATATAAGAGATAATTTTCATTAATCCAATTTCATGTAAATTATTCAAAAAGCGATTGCCCAGTAAAAAAGTAAAACATTTTTATTTCCCTAAATAATACATTTTTATAAATAAAGATAAATATAATAAAATAAGGAAATAGGTACTGTTTTGTTATCAAGACCGTGTGAAGAAATGTATGTATGGATGTGTTCATGTATGCATATACCCTGCGCCCCTCCCCCCCCAAAAAAGGGACAATTCTATATCTCCTATTCTAGTGGGCTGATTGACGAAATTTAAATTGCATTCTTCATGTCTCGTAAGTGTGACTTAGGATATATACGAGGGTTGGAACTTTAATAGTGGCAACTATTTATTTACAAGGAATTCAAAAGTGATTCATGTCACCATGTTTTACAGTCCTTCAATATAGTCCCCAGCATTGTGTACAACCATTTCCAATGATGGAAGTCGCAGAATATACCTGTAGCAGCACCTGTTTTGTTGATAGTTTGAATGGACCGGTCTACTGCCGCAAGAATCTCAGCAACAGTTTGGAAGCGAGTGCCACGAAGTGGTTCCTTCATCTTAGGAATTAAGTCATAGTCACAAGGGCTTAGATCTGGGGAGTATGGTGGATGGTAAAGCACTTCCCAGCCCCATTGCTTGAACAAATCAGTCACAGCTTGCGCTGCATGCGGCCGAGCATTGTCATGCAAAATGAGAGGAGCGTTCTGCAGAAAGTGTCGCTGTTTTTTTCTCAAAGCTGGTCAGAGATTGTGCTCCAAAAATGAGCAGTAATACTGCGCAGTGACGGTCTGCTGTGGGAAATTGGTATGCGTTAGGATGACACCATCACAGTTGTACACGAGAATCACCATAACTTTCACATTGCTGGGGTTCTGACGAAATTTCGAATGTCATGGTGACCCGTGATGACGTCTTTCGTTTGATTGGTGTTTCAGTTCTGGCTGGTATGATCGAGCCCAAGTCTCATCCAGCGTAATGATACGGCATAAAAAAGCATCTCCTTCGCGCTCATAGTGCTCCAGGTGGGTTCGGGCAGCATCGTATCGTAGCCATTTCTGCATTTCTGTCAATTGATGTGGAACCCATCGTGAAGCAATTTTTCTCATGGACAGGCCTTCCTTCAGAATGTGCAGCACAGATGTATGCGCTAATCCTGTTTGTCTGGCCAGCTGACGAATCGTTTGTTGGCGATCACTGTCCATTAGTGCGGCAACAGCTTGCACGTCTGCAATGCTGACACTCGGATGACCTGGCCGCAGCATGTCTGCCCCGTTTTGGCGTCCTCATTGAATGCTTTCACCCATCTTGATACTGTTTTGTAAGGCAATGCAGATTCCCCGCAAGCCTCTTGAAGCCCTTGATGACTGTTGTGCTGTACGACCTCTGGCACATTCAATTTTTATCCAACATCATTGTTCTTGTTTTGAAAACATCCTGACAACACTTACTTTAGACCGCGAGCTAATACAAGGATCTGTTCCTCGCTTCACTTCGCATGCGCGTGACGTAGGCAGGACGAGTCTTTTTGCTGAGAGGTAAGGTAGGTATGTAGTTTACGTGTGGTATACGCGATATTCTTTGGTTTTGTTGCATAGTGTTTTTTCAGCTGTGTTGCCACTATTAAAGTTCCAACCCTCGTATTAGATTTAATATATAGCTCTATTCTAACATAGTTATTTTGACACAAAATCAGACTTTTTCTGATATAACATACCGCTTTTTTTCCATGTTTCGATTCTATGACTCAAATTATGCCAGACTGCCAAGTTTTGTATAAATCGTACGATTAGTTTTTAAAAAATTAGCTCTTCAATGTTAATTGTATTCGGCATATATTTATTAATATCTCTTTTTTTTTTATTAAACTTCTTTGATTTTTTTTCTTTCACATTTTTAAATATAGGTTCATTCCAAATAAAATTCACCCATTTTTTGTGTTTATTTTTAAAATCTATTTTTAAATAATTTTTTATATAAATTTTTCAAAAAAAATTTTTTATAACCTATAAAATTTTTACCATCATTTTACAGTAGGTGTTTTTCAAGCATACTGCAAAAAAATTTACACAAATTTACATATTTTCGTGTTTTGAAATTGGGCTTCTTTTTTTTTTTTTTTTTTTTAAGCGATAATAACACCAAATGTGGTTTATGGATTTTTGTTACAGTGCCACAGCTATTTTTAACCATAAATTTCAAATAAATTTTTAGGGAGAATTAATTATATGAAATTTTTCCCCTCAATGATGTGTAATAAATATTTATAAATACTATATGAAGAGAAATTTTTTAAAAACTTATAGATGATATCATTCAAATTTTTAACTTTTTTTAAATATTTGTAAGAGTAAAATTTTACCTTTGCCGTGTTATCGTCTGCTACTTTGCTTTGATTGTATTTAAATTGAATTGTCTAAAACTGAGAAAGTTCGTTTGATGTTTATTTTCACAATGTTTTTAAGCAAACGGGGCGTTGATAGTTTGGGTCATGTCCCAGCTTTAAAAATTATATATGTAAGTTCAAATTTTTACATTAATCCTCTTTGGAAGAATGTTTTAAGTAGCTAATTTTCTCTTGTGTCATAGATTATATAAAAAACATAATCTTTAATGAGATTTAGATTGTTTGTAGCCGATATAATAATCGGGTTACTCAGTGGTACAGAATAAACATTGCTGGACTGTTTTATTTCTTTGTCATTTCACAAAAAAATCTTTTAATTAAAATATTTATCCTTTGGACTTCGCTTTAAACTTTATTTATAATTAAAATGCCTAGAAAATGAAAAGCTGTCTTCAACTGAAACACAGTTGATGTAATCGATATTAAAAAAAATGGCAAGAATGCAAAATTTATGAAAGTGTAGCAATCGAAAAATCTTAATTTTCTTCTGAAAATATATGTAGAAGGAAAGAAGAAAATTAGGGTGAAAAGTAAGCAAAAATTTGAAGGGAAATTTAAATTTGGCTGTCAGAAATGCTGAGGTGTTTCGAAAAGTTGGATGCTTTTGAATATATTTTCAGAATACTTCAAGGAATTTGGGTGTTCGAAGAGAAAACACTTACTTGGACATGTACACCCGCAAATACCATCAATTGAGCTTGTGCTAACAAAAAGACAAAAACCATATCATTGCAGATTAAAGTGAAAAGCGAGTGGTTTTTGACTCTATGCTTGTATAAATTTAAATTACGTTATAGAAGATCATATCATCATAAATGGAGAATTCCATGATTTCTTTGTCAAGTTATTTGAATATTCAGAAATTTATCCAGCGATGTATGTGGATGTCACCTACAGACATTTTCTATCTTGATGAAACCAAGTCTTTCCTTTCATCTCATGCCTTTAAAATGCTTGGAATCTGAAGACTAATAAAGGCTCTTACCAAATACTGATAAAATGGATTGAATTGGATTATTATGTTACGGCAAAGCAAGGCTATCTGCCCTAAAAGGAGGGATGCCTTCGTGAAGAACTTTCTAAGGGAAGTGAGCTGGCATACACGTTACAATGAGAAGAACCTCGAAAACGCCCATGCAACCAGCCCGTTTGCCAGGATTCGAACCCTGGAGCAAACTACTAGTGTTCAGTGACTTTACCACTCGGCCGTTTGTGGGCCTTATGAAATGGAAGGCGATAACTTTATTTAAAATGAATGTCAGAAATACCAAGATGGGTCGAAAAGTTGGATGCTTTTTAATATACTTGCAGAATGGCTGAAGAAGAGCAGGCCATTAAAAAGCCATTAACGAAAAGAGCAGGCCATTAAAAAAAAAAATTAATTTTTTGCATAAAATTTAGTATTTTTTTTTAACTTTAAAACTTTTTAATCTTATGATATTTGATTCTTGCGATTTCAAAAATAAAATATTTGACTAAAATATGAATAACATTTTAAGAAACTAAATGTAGGATGATAAAATTGTGTAAAGCAATAAGCATAATGTTAAAGCTATTTAAAGCAATATATGCAAGTCATCCTAAGTTAAAATGTCGGTTATACATCTTTCTCATTTATATATCTTTTCTGAACAGAACAATGAAAGGCGCGTTAACTATGCTTTACTGCATTTTCTCTTTTAATATATTCAGTTTTCAGATGCATCATAGTCTGGGACACAAAGTATTCTTCCGAAGAAAACACAATTCAAATAAATTAAATCAAATCCTGGAAAATTTATATTAATAAATATATTAAAATGCTTAGTTCAAATGAATGAAATAAAAAATGAAAATTTGAAGAGACAATGCAGTACAAATAATTAAAATAAAAGTTTAAAAATTTAAAAATTACTTAAAACAAAAACTGTGACAAAAAAATTATAAAGAAAACAATTTGAAAAAAATAAATGATACACCTTATATTTAAACTATGCAGTTTGAATGGGTAAATAGAAATTTTTAAAACAGTTATTCAAGAGAAACCATGCAACATAAACAATTAAAATGAAATTCGGAAAATAAAAATATTTAAAACAATAACATAAAAATATAATATAAAGAACATTATTTGAAAGAATGTTGTGATTTTTTTCCTCTCACGGGAAAGGAAAATAGGTTGCTATATATTAAGTTCGCCAAGTGAACTATTCTTGGCGCAAACTGAAAAAAAAAGTGCAACATAAATTTGTGAATTTCTCCGTAAATTTCGCACCAAATTTTACAAAATTTCATATTTGAGCATAATTTGAGTTGTAGAATTGAAATATGGAAAAAAAATTGGTATGTTATTTCAGAAAAAGTCCAATTTAGTGTCAAAATAACTATGATAGAATAGAGCTATATATAAATCTAATATATATCCCAAGTCGGGCTTTCGAGACAAGAACGCAATTTTAATTTTGTGAATTGGCACAGTAGAACGGGAGATATGGAACTGCCCCATTTTCTTTCACAGTGT